TTACTCCATTACAGATCACAAGAGTCTATTAGCGGAGACTGTAATATTGAACTCTCGCTTAAAAGCGAGAGTTCAATATTAGTTCTCATGTTTTATAATGGATTTCTTCTTGACATTGCATACAAGCTTTCAGATGGATCTTTCGGATGGTTTACAAATTAGTATTCATCTATACTATATCCTGCAAAAAACAAAATGAATATATCATTAACAGACATCAGAACATTAAGACAATACATTAATGTAATTGTCATTATCATAATTTAGTTTTTCTTTTTTAGATTGAATAAGTAAGAGAACACAATTTTTAAGAAAACATACAATATTATGTAGTTATAGAGTTATCTTAGCATTGATATGAATTGTGCAGACACAAAAATACATTAATTACTGTGTCAAAATCTTACTGTAAATAAAATGAATGATTAATAAATTACTTATTAAAATGTTTTAATTAATTAGTTTTTTAAATTTATGTTGTGTATGCGTACTTATTATAAATTATGAAAATATTACAAAAATACTCACTTCTGTGATCATAATATGTCTTATTACATATAGCCAAGAATTTGCTCCACATTATTAAAGTACTCAAGCATTTTCACTGAAAGAATTCTGAGTCAATGTCCTTCATAAAAACTGAAAATTTGGAAATCTAACAAATATAAGCTTAATATTACAAATATGTTAATGACAAAAGATAGATGAGATAAAAATACGCGAGGTTAGGATATATGTCATATGTGCAGTAGATAAATGTTAAACAGAAAACCTTCGGGCGCATTCACATCTTGGTAGAAAAATGAAAAGCAGGAAAGCAGAAACCAATGAGAACTCACACTAGTGGTCACAATTTCTACTTTATGCGTCGTCTACAATGAGATCTTAAGGAGACTTAAGGCGTAAGATTTAAGAAATTGACCAATCACAGTCGAGTATTAAGAGAATACTCGACTGTGATTGGTCAATTTCTTAAGTCTTACGCTTTAATGCGTCGTCTACAATGAGATTTTAAGAAGACTTAAGGCGTATTCAAGTGGATAATCCGCTCAAAAACGATACTAGAAATCTATGTGAAAATTTCATGAACTTTCAAGACATATTACTTTTTTCATTTTTGATAAGTGAATATCTTGGACATTAATAAAAGTATATAAATACACTCGGCCATAAGAATAATTTTATTTTTATTTGCATTTTATTTTTAATATACATAAAAAATAGGCTATCTCCCATTTATCCGTTTAATTTCAAATAATCTGTTCCATATTCTGAATCCCAACAAGCGATCCAGATTATTAAACAAATTATTTTAAATTAAATCAGTTTATTAAATTAAACTGACTAAAAGACCGTCTACAATTAAAATAATATCGGTGGAGTGGACGGTGGAGTAAGGCGTAAGACTAGGAGTAATGCGAAATGAAAAAGAACCATTCGCTTACGCCTTACTCCACCGTCCACTCCACCAATATTACTTCCATCGTGGATGGTCCTTAAAAGAAAAAATAAACTTCGGACCGTGTTAGTATCAGTTCTTTATATATACTTTATGACGAAAAATTGAATACGAGTTAGCTAATTTAATGCAGCGCCGCATACCCGCTAAACATGTAACTTTCTGGTAACGTCACATTTCGACTGTAATTAAGCAAATTTGAAACGTTTACATGTAACGGTAATAAAAGGTTCCGTAAACGTCTGAAATTAACGTTTTATTAGTGTCAGTTCGTAGAACGTACCAGAAACGTTGCTTTTCCGCATTTAATTTGTCAATTCGGAACGTCACAAATGAAATATTTTGTAAAGTTCAAGTAACATTTCATATGAAACGTTTTCTTTGCGACTTTATAAACGTTGCTTCAATGCTAGCATTTACTATGTTTCTAAAACATTCATTTCGCTACGTACTTTAAACGTTTCATTCAAAACGTAAACTTTGAAAAACATTTCATTTCGCATTAACGTTATAAATGCGACATTATTAAAAGATTTAATTTTGCAGCCTCGTAAAGTCAACTCGCAATTTATCGTTGATAAATGGTCATAACTTTTTAACAAATTGCAATTTTGCAACAAATAAGTCTCAAAATATTACTCCTATTATTATAATTGTTTGATTGCGACCACTGGCGGCCTCCGCGTATCAGAAAGTAAAGGACATACTGATGAACGCGGCAAATGTCGCTACAAGCGGTTGCCACTCACCGTTTTGCTTTCTTGTTTCGCGCGTTATGATTGGTCGCTTGAGTTGCGACAAGGCGCGTGTATCGAGCAGTCGGGGGACTTACTGCGTAGTGTGCAAACGTGTTGTGTTACAATCTTCTCGTATAATTAATTGTGTGCCGGTTGGTTTGTGCATTAATAAAGTTTTCAAGTATATAATAGCGTTTTCGACGTGATCGAATTCAAAACCTGGCTAACCTGGGTTGGATTCGGTCGTCAAAAACGCAATAATTCTGACATTATATTGCCCTCCCGCAAGGACGCTTCCTGCATAATTAACGCCCGGATAAGCGTATATTTCTTACAAAAAAGATCTATGACATCGCACACTCAGACTCCTGTTGCTGAGGGGAATCAACATCAGCTACATAAGGTAAGTAACAAACTTATTTATAACCTATACTAACCTAAAAAATAATTAATATTTAACGTTTTAGAAAACTTATTGTTCCAAGTGCACACTCGCGCGAGCGAATTAGTAGAAAAAAATATGGGAAAAATAAATAAATGTTTTGTGTCCAAAAGACATATGCGTCGAATAGTCAGAAAAGAATTATTAGAAACTTTGTTGGTAAATCACAAATTAATTAAAATAAATGATAAATCACAAACTAAAACTGCATTCCAGTCAGCAATGCAAAAAGGAAATAAAAATGAAATAAATATTGAACAATTTGCACATACCGAAAATCAGTGTACTGCAGCATTTCCAACAGAAATAGATGAGGAAGAATCTATAAGATATATTGAAACGCTCGTCGATGATGATTTTCAATTACATAAATGTAACATAGGATTTGACGATAAAGTTTCATCTGTGACTGAAGAGTTTGCACTTGATGCCACTAAACAATGGGTTCTGAAATATAGACATTTATTAAGCCAACGGGCCATTAACGATATGTTGCAAATTTTACGAGTGCCATATCCAAAGTTTCCTGCAGACTCGCGTATTCTTTTAAAAACACCAAATTCGTGCCCCTATGAAATAATTAATATGCCCCCCGGTTTCTACTGTCACATCGGTATAGAGAATACAATTCGTAGACTCATCAATGACAGTATTAATATGCACAATTTCTTATTTCAAAATTCAGAACCAATGTTACCCATTAGTATAAACATAGACGGATTACCTATTTCAAACAGTTCAAAAAGTCAATTTTGGCCAATTTTGATTTCTCTAGATGTAGATTCAGTTAGTCAAAATGCGTCAAAACCTTTTGTAGCTGGAATTTACCACGGGCACACAAAACCAGCTGATGTTAATCAATTTTTAAGTGAATTTATTACAGAATTTAAACATTTGCAAGATAATGGATTTAACATATGCAATAAAACTGTTAAAATAAAGGCCAGTAAATTACTTTGCGATGCTCCTGCTAAATCATTCGTTTTATGTACGAAAGGTCACACGGGATTTTACAGTTGCACAAAATGTACTCAAAGTGGTACCTTTATTAATAACCGACTAGCTTTCCCAGATATCAATGTAGACTTACGAACTGATGCAAGTTTTAAAAACAAATTAGATGATGAATTTCATAAAGGTACAACTCCTCTTGAAAATATTAACATCGGGTTAGTTTCGCAAATACCCCTTGATGGTATGCATCTGGTATTTCTCGGTGTAATGAAAAAACTGATAACGTTTTGGGTACGAGGACCAAAAAACATTCGCTTCACTGACGATGAGAAAAAAGCCATTAACGATCAAATATTATTTTTAAAGAATTATGTACCTAAAGATTTTGGCCGCTTACCAAGAAGCTTAGATGACATAGAGTACTTTAAAGCTGCTGAACTAAGACAATTGTTGTTGTACATTGGACCGATCGTTTTACAAAATATGAGAAACAAGAACATGTATACACATTTTATGACATTATCATGCGCTATTCGCATTTTATGTAGTCCTGCATTATATTCAGTTTATAATGATTATGCTTTGCAACTTATTTTGTTCAAAAATATTCAGTTCTTTATGGTCCTGAGTTCATCAATCACAACGTACACGGCCTCATTCATTTACCTGCAGACTGCTTGTTGCACGGTCCACTTGATACATTTAGTTGTTTCAAATATGAAAATTTTCTGTACGAAATAAAACGAAAAATTAAAACAACAAAACACCCCTTACAACAAATTTGTAACAGACTAAAGGAAGAAGAGCAGAAAAAGAAACAGGACGACAAGACTTATCCGATTTTACATCAACAAAGTAAAGTGCAAATTATTGATAAGGAAAGATGTATATTCTACAAAAAAGTGGATATTGGAAAGTATGAATTCAGCACAGAAAATAAAGAAAATTGCGTCATGCTTAGAGACAAGGCTGTACTATGCGTAGACGGTATTTTCCAAAACACTAACACACTGGAAATGTTCATAACGGGAAGAAAGTTTACAGAATCAACAACGTTTTTTAAGTCACCCTGATCTTCTGAACTATTTAATGTAGAACAGGTGCAAAATATTTCTGAAGATACGTATACTGTTAATATTAACGAAATTCAAGCAAAATGTGTAAAATTTCCGCACGAAAATAAGTTTATAATTATGCCATTAATTCATACACAATAATAACAAATATTTAATAGTAGTAATATTTAATAACAGTAATTAATAATAATATTTAATAATTAATTAATAATTACACAAAGAATCTCTGCCATTTAATTTTAATTAATATATAATACATCAATATAAAACCAGTAAATAAATTATACTTTGAATTTAAATATAAATTTTAATATAAAATTGAGTTAATATAATTATATGGTATACAATAAGAAGGTACTTTCACATTTTGCATTTACTTATTCTGATATTTTTATTTATTTTTATTACAAATAAAATTTGTGTTATTTCAGTTTATTTGGTCTGTAGTCGAATTTGCGGAGAATTTCGAAGAATCGACTGCAGTAGAAGTCGTCCCGACAACATGGGTAACAATTTTAAACAACGAAATTACATGCAAATGGCCTGGGAAAAACATCCGCAGGGCAATCAACAAACGAACAGCCCCATTAAGTTCTTGGGAAACTTGGAATATAAGAAACATCTTTTTCCAAACTGGTAATCTTTATTGTAATTAATATTACTATTTTTATTTCAAAATACTTGTAAATATATGTAACGATATGTATATACATATATATATATATATATATATATATATATATATATGTATATACACATCTGTCAATCAAAATTATTCATATATATATATATATATATATATATATATATATATATATGAATAATTTTGATTGACAGATGAATATCAGACTGCCGTAGATTTCGCAAAAAGAAAAACAAAAACTGATACAGATACGTCAGTGCCAGAAACTGGCCGAAGCAAAAGGAGAGTAAAAAAGAAGAGCCAAAATGATTACACAAGCGACTTCAGCGATAATTCCCAAAATCATAGAATGACACCACCTCCGATGCTGTCTACCGTATTTGGTACGTTAGTAGTGCATTATTAATAGAACTAAATTAAGCAGTGCATTACGTTACCAATAGAACTGAATTCAGGAATTTAATTTTAATTTGTAAAGGGATACGAGTGGATATAATTTGACCACGTTCGAAATGGCCACGGGTAAATTTGACCACGTTCGAAATGGCCACGTTCGAAACGGCCACGTTCGGAATGGCCACGGAATGTTGGAAGCACTATCCCCTTACACACGCACTCACACACACACACACACACACACACACATACGGGGGGGTGCAAGGGGGGCCTTCGGCACCCCTCCCGCACCCACCCCTCGCTTCGCGTGAAAAGTTGTATGGCCGTTTCGAACGCGTGGCCGTTTCGAACGTGGCCATTTCGAACGTGGTCAAATTTACCCGTGGCCATTTCGGACGCTCCCAAGGAATACAGTCAGGATTTTTCATATTTTTTATTTGCACATTTTATTATATAGACACACTTTACCATGCCATAATACAGGGTGGTTCATTTTAATCTAGCCAGGCGAATATTTTCAACGCTGTTGAGTTTAGAGAAAAATGTTTCAGACAAAAGTTATAGGGTTCGAAGGGGGACATAAGATGGTACCATTGGTTTGACTTTGAAGAGTTATTTGAAGATCACATGAAGGTCACTTTCAATTTCTTAAATGGAACCTACATTTTCTCATTACATATTCTTGTAGCTTATCTCGAGAGCTTTCCAAAACACTATAATAAAAAATTTTTTTATTGAGTACTTTTCGAGTTATGAGGCTTGAAATCATTTCTTAATTTTACCTTAATATAAACCATAAAATATCTAGTAAAATATTCATTTTTTGATTATCTTACCTTAATGCTTTTATGTAGAAATTAATGAGAGGAATCAATTAGTGTAAAGAAAACATACAGTTGTTTTTAAGAAAAAATATGTAATTTGCAATTAACAATTACATATTTTTTCTTAAAAACAACTGTATGTTTTCTTTGCACCAATTGATTTCTCTCATTATTTTCTACATGAAAGCATTAAGGTAAAATAATCAAAAAATGAATATTTTACTAGATATTTTATGGTTTGTGTAAAATTAAGAAATGATTTTAAGACCTCATAACTCGAAAAGTACTCAATAAAAAAATATTTTATTATAGTGTTTTGGAAAGCTCTCGAGATAAGCTACAAGAATATGTAATAAGAAAATGTAGATTCCGTTTAAGAAATTGAAAGTGACCTTCATGTGATCTTCAAATAACTCTTCAAAGTCAAACCAATAGTATCATCTTATGTGCCCCTTCGAACCCTACAACTTTTGTTTGAAACATTTTTCTCTAAACTCAACAGCGTTGGAAATATTCGCCTGGCTAGATTAAAATGAAACACCCTGTATATAGTCACAAACAATTTTGAATTTTTAAACCACTGAAAACATTTAGAAAAATGAAAATATGCCGTTTATAACCACGAATATCGATTCCGGCTAACTGCACAATTTTATACATTTTCACTTCACAATTTTTTCCAACACTTCTGGCTATGTAATGATGCAAACATAAGCCATTACAAATTTGTAGACACTTTAAAGTACTTAAAAAATAAAAGTATTTAACAAAAATTTAAAAAATCGACATTATCTAAACACCTGTAACTTAATTTTAGAAATTTGATCTTTAAAATTGTTCGCGAATCACGAGTTTCAATCATTCCATTTTGATCTGCATAAGCAGAGATGATTGAGCGAAAAGTAATAAGAATTAATACACACTGTTATTTCTTGTAACATATTACGGTTTTAAAAATAGTAAGTTAAATTTTTTAAATATATAAATAAGAAAGTAAAAATGTATAATATAAATTCCTATATGAAATAAAAATAATATAAATATTATATTTTTTGTAATCAAGTAATTCTAATTTTGTTAAGTGTTGGTTAAAAATACATTTACGTAATACATAAATAGCCTCTATTCAGTCTTACAAGTGAATACAGAAGTGAATATTTTTGCAACGATTAGATGAGTCTTTTTGCTAAATATTTATCTTTCAGATCCTGCAATCGAACGTAGACAATCAAGTGAAGTTCTACAGACTACAAGAAATCTGCCAGCAGATATTGACAACATTTTTCCAACCGTCAATAAAAAAATAAATAGTAATATAGGTGATATAGGTTAGTATTTTTTTAATGTTTATAAATAGAAATGTTAATGTTTTGTCCTGAGTACTTATTAATTTCATATTTATTTAGACTCAAACAATAACGATAATAAAGAAAATCAGATAGATCAAACGGATGATATAGGGGTTATGAATCGTAACAATAATATAAACAATACTGTAGATCTTGAAACCTACCCAACGGAGGGTATGTAAACGTATATATATGTATATTTAACATTCACATACACGTATTTATTGGTCGTAGTATATCTACGATAAATAACAAATACTATTTTAATATATCAAGATTTACTTTCCGAAGTTATATTTTTATAACATAAAATATTTTAATTCAACAGATTTAGGTCCGCAAAATATTGCTGGAAACGCATCTCCAATTCCGATAAGAAATAACTTATTCGCAGGAAACGTAATCTTTGAAGATTTTCCATCAGGTATCAATATATATATTTATTGTTATTTTATTACTTAAACAACTACACAATACAACAGCAACAATAATAACAATAAGGTATGTAATAATATTTAATTGTAATTTTACAGATAGCCAGAATATAATTAAGATTTTAGAGAACACGATAGAGATTAAAAAGCTATTAAGACAACAAAATGAATTTGTTGAGCAATTAAAACAAAAAAACGACGAATCAGTAATATTTGCAGCAGCAGGTGCAAGATATAATAATTTTTCGACTATCCCTACAAAACCATTTAAAAAGCACCGAAAATTACTGCAGTATGACACTTCATTGAAGAATGATGAAGATGGAAAAAAACAACTGGTAATAGTATATACACTACCCGTCAATGATTCGCCCCCCTAGGAAATAGAGACGGCGCTATAGATTTTTTATAGTTTATCTATAGCGTCGTCTTTATTTCCTAGCAGGAATGGGAACGAATCATTGACGGATAGTGTACATTCCCCACTTACTTATTTATACAATTAAAATATAATTGCATCGTATATTCAATTAGACATGTAAATTAAAAAAGATTGAAAAAATGTAAATAGCTTGTATGATGTCGATACTCAGAGAATTGTGCGGCCGAAAATACTTTTAACATAATTGAATATTTTAACTTAATTTTACTGTACATATATACTGATATATGTACAGTAAAATTATTTACAATTTTCTATTACATATTAATCTCTCGAAAGTATGTATATTGAAATATGTAATGTTTCGACATTATTCATATATGAAAAATTTAATATGTCGTTATAATTGTAATAATTATATGCTTCAGGAAACATTTTTCTATTTGCTTGGAGGAGACTCACCTCAGGATCAAATAAAACATAGCTTGGAAAAAATGTTTTCCAATAAATTGGCTATGAAATGTTCATGGAAAGGCCAGAAAGGAAACTTTGCCATAAATTCACTTCTGCTAATAGATATCATAAAAAGTAAGACTTTCTGCATTGACCTAACTTGAAACAAAATTATATAAATCAATTTATTAAACTTTAATTTTTTCTTGCGTTTTATAGAGGCTGCTCGAAAGCATTATCCGATGTTAACGGATAGACAATTTTTAAATCATGTTTCCGCCTGGTTTAAATATGCCAAAACACGTCATGATAGAGAGAAGGTACTTTTTTCATTCTATTTAAATGAATTACTATTTTTATACAGCTGAATTGATTTTGTGTCTTTTTTCTTGTCTTAGGCAAAAGCACTTAGAAATCAGATCGGATAATTCAGTTTTAAAGAAATGTACATGAACTCATATATGGCGTTCAGCCGATCCTGCAAATGCACTAATAGTGCAATATTAAAATAATAATATTTATGTTATAAATATTAGAAATATTTTAAAAATACATGTTATAAATATATAATATATCTTATATAATTGATGTTTTGTATTTTTTTAATTTTATCACAAAATATTGTTGTATGTATATGAAAATAAATGTAATTAATATGCGAATAATTTTTGTTTTTCATTGATCGTATTATTACGCATGTAACGAATGTATAAAGCCTAGTCTACAATGAGTCATTAATCGTTAATTTGCAAATGCCATCTCTTATGCACTCGAGTGTCCTAAGTCGTAAGTCATAAGAGATGGCATTTGCAAATTAACGATTAATGACTCATTGTAGACTGCGCCTTATACATTCGTTACAAAAACGTTGCAAATTAACCATAAAGCGGAAAATAAATTCCTGGAACGTTGTATAAAAAACGTTGTATAAACATTGTTTTTGGAATGAAAGTTTGTAACGTTTCCCTAACGTTTCATGCAAGTTTTACAAACGGCGCAAAAAACGTTGTAAATGCGACGTCGCACATATAAGGTTTTTCAAACGCCTAAAACACGTTGCAAGTTCGACGTCGCATATGTAAAGTAATTGAATCGGGACATTTCTGGTTCCTGAAATGTTACCAAAAGGTTAATACAACCAAACGTAAAACGTCGCACGGCTATATTGCAATGTTACAAAAACGTTTTTGCAACAGAATATTGTTTAGCGGGTAGCGGCAAAGCGAAGAAACATATTCTATATACATATGTACTATCACATATTTAGAAACATACAGATATAATTTTTTTTTTAGCAAACTTTTTTCTTTCTGAAAGATTTCAGAAATATTGCAAATACATTATTATATAAAATATAAATATTATAATATTATAATATAAATATTATGAATATTATAAAAAACATGATGCAGGCATATTTCTGAAATATTTCAGATACAAAATTACAATTGAAAAATTTTAATAAAATATCTTTTAACATTACAATATTACCGAGTCGTTGAATGATTAATCATAATTTCAATAGAAATATCCACATGAAATCTACATTGATCGAGAATAAAGTACCTCGATGTAATAATGGAAAAAGAAAGTTGTATCCACGTAGACAATTCGTGGATAAATCTGCATCCACGTAAGCCACGTAAAATATGTGGATTCGACGAGGATGTGACGTAACTGTTTTTGTCAAGAATGTACTGTTGTCAAAGTAGTCTATTTATAATTAATTCCTTATATATATTTAATAACATGTCGTATTTCAAAAATATTGGTAATGTATACGTCAGACAATCAATGTACATCGGACAATCATCATAGATAATTTTGTACATTATAAATAATTGTAGTGTTGTCAAAATAGCCTATCTATAAATAATTCCTTATACATACTTAATAGCAAGTCGTATCTCAAAAATATTGGTAATGTATACGTCAGACGATAAATGTACTCTAATGTATACAATAATATATGACAATTTTTGATGTCGCCAAAATAGCCGATTGACATATACATATATATATATATATATATATATATATATATATATATATATACAATATATATATATTTTCTGTTACAGGAGCGGCCCCCTCACCTGGCTCCCCTGCCCCCGCCCGCACCCTTAATTATATTTTAAATTTTATTATTATAATATATTATTTTTTTATTTTATTTTATTTTATTAATCATAATTTAAGCACATACACACACACACACACACACACAAATTGTATAAAATACACACATTTTTAATAAATTTATATTTTATATTTTGATTTAAAACAAAAAAAAATATAATTATTTATGCACCTCTCCATGCGTTCCCATCCTTGCGTCTCTCTTGCGTCTCTTTCGCGCTAGTTTTAAGTATCGCTATCTCTATCATACACGTTAGTTGTAAGTCTCGCGATATTATCGTTCTCTCTTGCACGCGTCGTCTTCGCGCTATCGTTCTCTCTCGCACGCGCTAGTTGTAAGTCTTCGCGCTATTATCGTTCTCTCTCTTGTACACGTCGTCTTGGCGCTATCGTTCTCTCTTTCATATGCGTTCTCTCTCACTCGCGTTGTTCTTGCGCTATTGTTCTCTCTCGCACGCGTTGTTATTCGCGATATTATCGTTTTCTCTCTTTAGCTTAGAATATACTCGTTGTTCACTTACCTTTGCGTCGTTCTTCTCCCACCTATGCGTCGTCCTTGTCCCACGTTAACGCCATCCTTGTCAGCACTGTCCTCTTCACACACACTTTGCACTGTCCTTTTCCCATACGTAGCGCTGTCCTTCTCACACCACCGTCTTCTTTCCGCTGATCCCCTTCACCGCGCGGACCACCACGCCCATCGCTCGCGCCGCGGATCCCCTTCACCTCACGGACCCCCTCGTCCATCGGTCGCGCCGCGGATCCCTCTTCACTGCGCGGACCACCTCGCCCATCGCTCGCGCCGCGGATCCCCCTTCCCCGCGGGTGACGTCACCCACGGTGCGCCGCGGTTCCTCCTTCCCCGCGCGTGACGTCACTCCCCCCGCACCGCGGTCCCCCTCGCGCCTCTCCCCCCTGAGAGGACCTGGGTTAGAACTGACATAGTATACCTACCCACACATATTTGATGGAGGAAATATGGAGGAGTTTAAAGAGATATGTGAAATTTACATTCATAGCAGGATTAAACTAAAAAAATTTTATAAAATCGTTAATTCGTGATTCTATATGCTACTTGATAAATAAAAAAACACATTAAAAACCCACAACGAAAATTACAATTAGCACTGCGTTATATAGTTCTTAAATAAAGTATTTATTCACTGCTGATATTCAATTCATTGCGTAGGCATCTGAAATGACAATTTAAAAGTATATGTTATATTTACATGAATACAAGGAGATAACTGCTTCTTAAGATAAATATGAAATTGCTTTTTAAGATAAATATGAAATGATTATGTATTACAAATTGTATTTTCAAAACAGCTTTCGATAGATGATACTATAAAAAACGTATATAATATAAAAATTAGTATCTTAATTTTATGATATTTGCTTTGCTTATTAATTTTGTATTATTTAATTTTATATTTCATTATTCAGTTTTATATTAATTACATTTTTTACATTTTGTTATTTTATTAAATAACTATTACTGAAAACATTATAGCGAAAAAAATAATAACATTTATCAATATTATCTGGCGAAAGCTGAAAAATTTCTGCAAATTAATCAACTTATTGGAACTCTTCCTTTGAGACAACATCACTTAACTTTTCGTGCAAACGCCTAATATAAAATTTTTAAAATATATATATTATTTACATTCAAAAACGTAAATACATATAATTGCATATTTCGCATGTGTGCGATAAGTATAATCTTATTTCTTGTGATTCATTGCTGCTGTGACCAAAATTGCTTGAATGAATACGTGTTGCAGGTCTTAATTAAGTAGGATCCTGTTGATTTATAGTTGTTGTAACGCAAGAACTTTGTTCATATGTTGCTTGACTCGCTTGGGAAGATGTTATTGTAGATGTAGTAGTCATTGTGTGATTCATGATGACATGTTTCATTTTGTGGAATAGAAGATCCATACAGTGTAGTATTTGGAAAAGTCCATGAAGTATTTGGAAAAGAATGTTCTTAAAAGATATAAATGATATTAATGAAATTTCGATATTCTGATCAAGACTACAATTATTTCGATTTGTATTAACTTCATCTGATGATGAAGTCATGTATTTTTTTGATCGTTTGATCAGACGAGATGGATGACCCAAGCTGAAATTTTATTATTATTTTAAATTAATTATATGAACGATTACTTATTTTTAATAGCAAGCATTTAACGTAATATGTGTTTAGTCGGATAAAAATAAGATTAAGAAATTATATATTTATTTTTTTCATAATCATACTTTAACTTTAGATAAATTGCAAACAATGAGATTGCACAGCACAATGGTGAAGAAGTGCAAAAAATAAATACTTGAACAAGATGCAAATTGATTGGAACATGCAACAATGCTGGAAGTCACAGCATGAAAATAAGTGAATAACCAAAAACAGCAAATTTTGCATTTAAAGAGAAAAAAAACATAATACATGATCATGGAACTCTTTAAATAAATAATAAACTTTGTATTTAATTTTCATGATTTAAAACTATCGATTTTAATTGTAAATGATGCATTTTGTATTTAAAACCTTTTAAATACAAAATCGTTATCTTTATGTTGCAATACAATATATGGAAGAACTATTTATGTTTTATCATATTTCAACAGTATATTTATACATAAGTTACAAATACGATTGAAAATGATGTTACTTAATTAATTTCAATTTAAATTACAATAAAATTAATTTTATACTTTCATAATTTTTTTCTTCTATATCCTTTATCTAATTTATATATATGTATATTACTTTTGGTCCTCCATTTTATAAATTCATTTGTTCCTCTATATAAGTCTGACATAAGGATGCAAACAGATCTGTTTTTTGTTGTGCTGCATTGGAATACATTAAAATTTTCTTTCTCAATTTTACTAAACTTATCACTTGTGTGTGTGTGTGCGTATGTGTGTGGCAACGTCGGCAATTGGATGTCATTCAATATATATCTATTTTTCTCTATCTTTCAATATATATCTATCAATATATATCAATATATATCATTCAATATATATCTATTTCTCTCTATATATATCTATTTCTCTCTATTTCTCTCATTTTAAGTATGAGTGTATCATGCTACTTCAGCTACAAAAAATAGGCCTATTCATTCATTATTAATTAACGTATTCAGCTTTGTCCTTTTTAATTGAACTTCTTGCATCTTTCATTCTTCCTCTCTTTTTCTTACGTTGAAAAAAAAATTAAATTAATGATACAAAAAGGTCAACTAAAAAAACAAAGCTTATATTAGGAAGATAG